CTCTCATTCAGCTGCATGACTCGACTCAGAACTACAGTAAAATACCTGATTGTCATTTGTTTGGTGTGATCCAAACAAACACTCTGTCCTCAGTTCTTCTTGTGCTGATATCAGCCTGCAGAACAGCTGACATTGAGCCATAAATTACACAACTTTACTCAGCAACAGATCTATTGTGTGCATGTTGTGGAGCTGAGGAATCATCACAGCTGAGCTGTTCTGAATTAATCTGCTGAGTTGACAAAGTTTTATTCTCAGTTAGAATTAAAAATGTTTCTTAGAAAATTCACACATTTTATTCTCCTCAGCTGTGTGTGCGCTCTGTGTGTTTCCAACTCGAGACAGAAATATAAAAACTTTACATTTTACAGACTGGACTGAGGGTCTCTGATCAGTTTTCTTGTCTGAGGTTAAATGATTTTCAGTTTCATCATCGTTCAGTTTAAACAATAAAAACTCAAATAAAAACCTAACACTGTTCAGACGCTCCTTACATCCAGAAAACACAACAGACTCATATTTCTGTGGATTCAGCTCAGATTCAGGACTTTGTGAGTTAAAACTGTCGACTGAAAAACTTTGTGTGTCTGCTGCACATTCTCACAGCAGGTGAAATGTGTGCGTATATTTACGCACAATTTCACACAATGTTGGTTTTGATGCATTACAACGTGTGTGTAGAACCTGGAGCACACACAACTTTTTGTGTACGCACCGTTTCTACATGAGAAGCTGGAGTTTCAGACAAACTCAGGCTGAATTGTGTTCAAATCAGTGGAGAAATGAAAACATGGTCCTCACTGTGCTGCCTGCTTTGTCCAGATGACACTGGGTTTGTTGGTCTGAACTCTGAGGCTGACACCGTCTGGACCTGCAGGTTCTGGTTCAGGCTCTCAAGCTGCCTCTTCTCCTGACTTGTAGAAACAGAAAAGAGGGAGGAGGAGGCAGAGGGAGCAGCAGCATCTCCTGATTTAGTTGAAGACAAAAGAAAAACCTTTTAAAAACTGTAACAGAGTATTTATAGAGCTTCTCAGAAACACCAGTGCAGCTTGTTTTCTACACATTCATCACATTTTGTGCCCAAAGCACCATGTTTTTACAAGTTTTACTGTCTGATTTGGATTATTAGGACCATCAAACTCTGATCGTGTGCTGAAATGATTAATAACATAATAAAACATAAACAATGTGACAGAAAAACTCAAGTTAATCAGATTTTTACTTGTATTTGCTGTTAATGTGGACATCCTGTCAGCCAGTGCTGCAACGTGACGATTTCAGCTTTTTTGTCAGAATGTCTGATAAAATGATTAGTTTAAAAATCTTTTGGAGAAAGTGTGTAAGCCAACGTCAGTTATAACTTAATCATTTACATTTTATCTGCTCTGAAACTTTTCATTAAAAAAGGTTTAAAATACATAAAAATAGACAATAATATATATTTTTAAATAATTATCTGTTCTTTGCATGTCTAAAATTGTGTAGATTTTTGCAGCTTATGTAAATTTTTTAAAAACATAAATACAGCAGATATAAATTTACCTCAGTTTGTTGGGTCTACAGTTTCTATTTAAAGGGTCAATATTCAGTGTTTCTCAGGCATATATTTAAATACTATACCATAATAAAGTATCTATGTCACCTTTAGCTGTTATTAAAATGCTGTTTTTATGTTTAAAGAGAAAAATAAACT